GCAGAGTCAATATGACCCCACCTCGCCACTGCCTGAAATACACTCAGAGTGGAATTCTATCTGATATTTGTTGGAGGGAAGCATGGATGCATCGAGAGGTTGAGAGCAACTCATAGAATTACCCTCAGTGTTTGCTTTCAGGAGTATAGATCCTCGCAGGAGAAGGGAGGGGGCAGTATGCTGAGCGCTGAGGTGGAACAGAGCCCATCATGTGAGCTCGCTCCCTCGCTAGCTAGCTCGCTGGAACCCCCTCCCTCTCTTGCAACAGAAAGATGAAGTGAAAGAATCTGCTCTGCACCTGTGAGCACCCTTCATTTCAGCTTCTGCGAGGATTTTGCCGTATCGAGTGGCCGACCGGATGCTCGGGGCTGGGACGGACTCCAGTAGATACAGCGGGGCGTCTCTCGTGACACCTCGCCGAGATGAGCTGTGTTTCTGCTCTTGGGGCATGCTGGAGCTCATGCACTGTGACGCCACTGACAGCCTGGCGTAAAGAAGATGAATCTCGGGTGCAGAACGAGCTGCTTGGAAGTGTCACTGCAGGCCGGTGCTGAGGCGCGGACGGCCAGTAACATCATTCTTTCACCACCCCCAGTTTCCCCCTGCCCCTCTCGCACATTTCCAGTCTGATGACATGACGGATATGACTCTGTCACCCTCACAGTGAGGGTAGGATGAAACAGGACAGGGAGCAAGTGAAATAGACAGAGAGAGATATTGGGAGGTAGAGGCGGAGATGCATAGAGAGAACGAGATGGAGTGGGAGGTTGAAGTGGAGAAAGCCAGCACAAGTGGGAGGCAGGGGAGAGCATATTTCAGAATGGACAACATGGATCTAATGCATAATTCATGCCCTCTGAAATTTCTTTGAGGTTTTCGTTTTTTTTGTACAATTTTATATTCACTCAGTTCGCCGGGTTTCCGCACTTTCTGCCTGAAATGTCTCCGCCATTTCACTATCCACATTACAGTTACTGCATCTTGGCCCGGACCTTGGTTTTCATGTTTGATGTTTTTCTGGAGCCTCAGCGACCGGAACTTTTTGCCTTGGTCCGAGGTTGCCGTTGGTTACCAGTGATCAGCACACGTCTGTTGGCAGACTAACTAATATCTCTTTGGGGAGCCCTTCTTTTTATGGTCTGCCTGAGACTGGTGCGGGTATTGATTTGGTTGGTGGGCTAGAATTTCTCCTGGGAGCTAATAAAAATAATTACAAAAAGATCATCAAAGGCCTGACCTTCTGTTGCACACATGAATAAATATGTGACAAAGACAACAGAAAAGCTTGCTTCTAGGTGTGTGGTCAGTGGGATATGGGGGAGAAGGAGCCATTAGTGATAGTTAAAGTGGTGTTTTATCTTGACTTTATACGAAAAATAAGCCAAATTTTAGTATGTTAAACTTTTATGTGGCTTTTAGTTATGTTTTAACACTAATTGTGAAGTGTAATGTGTTGTTTGGAAGATAGCAAAAACACTATTTAGGGAGAAAGCATGCTGAAATACTGCACATTTCTTGGATAACAGCACTGCGAAATTGCATCCATTTCAGTGAAGCTGACATAAGTAGACGGAAAGAAAAGGCAGAAAAGAATCAGCTTCTGGTTCAGTAATCCCTCTCTGATTTCATTCCCTGTCTGTGTGCTTGTTTGTTTGTTCTCTGGTTCCTGCTTTCCTCCAAGAGTGGATGACTGCACAGCAGTGGTGAAAAGTAATGGTGGTGTTATTGCAGACAGGGGGAAACACAGCATTTTGATTGGAGCGTGTGCCCTGAGACCCAGTGAAGTGCACTCGCCTCAGCTCAGAGAGCACTTGATTGCACAGCACCAATGATCGCATTAAAAGGGCAACAGAAAGCCCATTTACCGTAAAGAGAGTGGGAAAGGGGGCCCAATAGGAAGCTGAAAATTGACTTTCACTTCTGTGAGGAGCTCGGTCTGATGGCAGGGTGCTGAAGATGTACATGAAGTTTTTGTTGTATTTGATCTTCCTGGACAGCATATATTTAGGGACAAACATTTTCGTTTGTACCCAGATTTTTCAAAGTGAAACATCCGGCAAGGTTTACATGTTCAGGTTAGCCAGTTATTGATATTGATGAGACTAATTTAAACCATATTCCACAACATATGGATGCGTTTATAACCTTTCCTACCTCTTCCACCTGACTCTCTGCGCCCAGGAAGGACACTGACCAGTCACGTCTGGCCCTCTGTGCACCCAGCCTAGCTCTTTCTGGCAGTGAAAGGACAATTGTAGAGGCATCTGCTGCGTTCATTTCCACAGGAAAGAGGAGAGCAGATGGAGACTCAAGGTTTAAGTGATTAGAAGGCAGTAGATTGGAATACAAATTGGATTTAAAGAAATTAGACTGATATAAATCGAATGGAGTCGCCGCAGTTTAGTGCTGTGCATGCGCGTTGGCCTTAGTGGAAAGCCACCGCAGGGTTTGTGGATTATGGGGGAAGCAGATGCTCCAATGAGATAAGAATAAATGTGCGTTCAAACACTCCATCTGAGCGGGATGGGGGTCTCCGTGTCTGTCCTTTATCTCGCCCTCCATTTATCAATGTCACGGTGTTAATTACTGCTTCATTTATTAAGTCACTTATTGCCAGAATACAAACTTGCCTCTCTGCTCCTGCTCTGACAGGGCTGCCGGCTAGGTTACTGTTATCTACCACTGATGAAAGAGATTGCGTGAATAAGTGCAAGCAGCGTACTGTTGGTGTTTGTTCCACCACCAGTAGTGTGCCTTCGGTTTTTTTCACATTGTGCCAATGAGAGAAGATCATGTTCCCTGGGAGCAGGATATCACCACCCCCTCTGCTAAAGACTGCTGTCTGTGGCCCCAGTTAGCACAAGACACCAGGCCTGATCACTAATCAATGACAGGGAAATGGAGGGAATTAGCCCAAATTAGGAAGAAGAGAGAACAGACTACCTCCTGCTCAGGGGTCAATACGCCCCTGTCTCATGTCTGATTCCTGACAATCGGTGGACTAGCGCACGTTTACACAGAGTTAAATGCATGTGTTTGCATGTGTGTATTCTTGTGCACACACATTCACCACACTCAGGGTCTTTGAAGTGTGTTTTTGTGCTGATCAGCGGGTTTCTACCTGCTCCTGTCCTTTTTGCCCGCAGACTCATGGACAGAAAAGACCAGGGTACAGCTTGTCCCAGTTTCCCCTGGGAGACTCAAGTATAAGGGGTAGTGGAACATGTGCAAACCCAGCTGAACAAAGAGCTGGAACCTCCACTGTTTAGCCTCCATCCCCTGTTAAAATTAGCCCTTACATAAGCACAAAGGCCTACGTGGTTCTTTACAGCAGGCATCGTCCTATTACCCCGCTGCACTGCCCCAGGGAAGGGCACAATCATCAACTCAGCTCAATCACATGCCCACCTGCAACAACTCATTTTAAGACAAAGGGCTCAGCTTTCAACCTAATGCAACTCTGACTGGCTAACGTTTAGCTGCCTACTGAATCAGAGTAATTGATGCGGTATTGAATGTGGTTCAAAAGAAAGGGATAAAAAAAAAAAAAAAAAAAAAAAAGGTTGTTGGAAAAGTTTGCCTTATTCCCTATTCCCTTCACCGTGTCTCTGGTTGTTTGATGCTGGATCAAACTATTTGATTGTTGCAGGGTTCCCATGGCCTCTGTGATGTAAATGTGTGTGTGTGTGTGTGTGTGGCCTGCAGCATCTTATCTTCATGGGTAAGACCTGGTCACAGACACACAGAGCACTTTGACTCAGGCAGCATTATCTTAGCTGCCAGACTCCCAGAGCTCACCGTACTGAAAGGCGTAATGAAAAGGAGTGGGCCAAGGTTTTCAGCCACAGGGGATTAGCATTTGACATTAGTCTGGACGCAGCATTCATATTCACATCACACGTGCACTTTTGCTCACAGGACTCAACAGTTTTACTCGACTTTTTCGTAAAAGCCAAATATCCAAGGCAAATATGTAATTTGTGTCTTTGTGCATGTAGCTCAAATGTATGCCTCCATTCACCGTTCATCCATGGGGCCAATTATCCTCAAGCTCTTCCATATAGGATCGAGAGCAGATGGTTGCTTTTTTACTGCCCTGAAATGGTGATTAAAGGCTTCAATGTGTGTTTTTATATACTTCTAACCCAAGACAAGTTTAAGTAACTATTAGTTTGAGCCCTCCATTCATTTTCCACTGCTTATCTGGGTCTGGGTAGCGGTGTCAGCAAGCTAAGTAAAATCGCTGCTCAGCACTTTCTTTTGGTATCTGATTTTGGATCAATGTTAGTTGTTGTTTTGTGTTAAAAATGTAGATGCATTTAGTCAAATTTCCGCTGAGTGCAGCTGTTTTTTTTCCCCCCTCCCTGAATTTGCATTGTCTCATTTTCAGTGTATTTGTTGCTTTATTAAGTCAGTCCATGAAGACACAGAACTTGCTGTTTGCTGAGGTACACAAATGAAAGATGTCGCTTAGTATGTAGCAGCTGCATTTGTGAAACAGGTCAGATATGTGTGGGGCAGCTGAGAAGATTTCACGGCATGATACTTTGGACTGCAGATTTCCTTAGAAAACAGGTCATTAGGTGGGTCATCCTCCTAGCTTTCATTGATGAAATGGATACTGCATCTGAGTCACATCCTGTAGCTCCCTCTGGGGAAAAAGATCTTCCCAAGTTAGATTATTTGCTGCTTTTAGTTGTGTTTATTAGTCCCTTGGTTTTTGCAGTTATGTTCCTGAAAACGGTTGTTAAATGAGGAAAGTATATATTTATTTAAATGAGCAGAAACCTGTTTTAAAGCCTTAATGCTGCGGATTTATGATTAATTACATCTCTTGTTTTTCCCTTCAGGATCCCGTCTGCGCCAGGAGGACTCCCCACCCCGGATTGTGGAGCACCCCTCTGACCTGATTGTATCCAAAGGGGAGCCCGCCACTCTCAACTGCAAAGCGGAGGGGCGGCCCACCCCGACAGTGGAGTGGTACAAGGATGGCGAGCGGGTGGAAACGGACAAAGATGACCCACGTTCTCACCGCATGCTGCTGCCCAGCGGCTCGCTTTTCTTCCTTCGCATCGTTCATGGACGACGGAGCAAACCGGATGAGGGAGCCTACGTCTGCGTGGCCCGGAACTACCTGGGAGAAGCCGTCAGCCGCAATGCATCTTTGGAAGTAGCATGTGAGTCAAGAATCATTCTCCTGTTCCTTCTTAATGTCCTGTTTTGCTCGTAAAATGTAATTAATTGGCTTGACAAAGAAAAGTCTTGATGCCGCTGCTTCAAAATGATGGAAAGACCGGATTTGCATTTAGCACAAGACGACTTTTAAAGTCAACATGATACATTTTTATGTCAGTTACACATTATAGAAAAGTCATTGTCTTCACTCTAGGGAATAACAATAAACAAACTAACATTTAATTTGCAGTCACTGTAATTACACTATTTTTAGAGCTGACTTCATGTTGTTTTCAGTGCTCACTCCATTTGCAGCCACTGTAATAATTTCCTGTAAGTCTAAAGGGGACAGTTAAGCTGTGCTGCGGTTTCATAATGTCGAACATTTTTGGTGGGATAATGAGTTGTAGAAAATGAGTTTCTCAGCCTTGGAGTTGATGAATTTGATACGCTCTTAGCTGAAGGGAGTTGTTTTGAAGTTGTGTGCAGACCTTTAAGTTGGACATAATGCTACTGGCAGACTGTTGGAGAGGGACAGTCACTGGTCTCCTCACAGGTGAGTGGGGGTAGAAAGACAAGCACAGCTCCTGATGGACATTTAACTCAGATCATCTGTGTTGGTGAACACTGACAGGCAGAACCTGAGCTGTGGATCAAATTACCTTTGAAGATGAGCCTACCCCCCAGCAGGCTGGGCTTCCTCTCGAGCAGCTCCCAGGCATCTCAAACTGCCCATAGGATGGAGTGAAAAGTCACCCTGTCCTTATGTTGTTCTGAGTAGAGATACTTAATACAGCCCCGTGTTGCAAATAAGGACTGTGTGCTTTGTGTCGCATCCACAGCTTATTTTAATTACTTAAATTACATGATTTGTCATAGATTTTTAAGTTTTAATATCATGAAAGTGACAAATCTCTGCCATTGTAGAGTTAACTACAGTCTAATTAACTTCTGTCAGCAGTTTAGTAAAATGCTGAGGTTAACTTCCTAGTTAACATACAACAAACAAACCTAATTAAATGTTTGGCATGTTTCAACAGAGGAAAGCCGTAGAAACATCTTCCATGTAATAGAATGCCCTGTAACTGTATTTCTCATGTGATTACAGTGGCAGCAGGGTTCGTAGTTAGTTTGTGATCCTTGGGAAATGGAAATGGAGGGGGGTTGGTCTGTGCCTCTGATCCAGTGCCCTGCCTTCCCGAGGGCTTTCCACCAGCCCCCAGGTGCTAACTGTGTGACAGCAGCTTGATCTATCGATTGCTGTAAGAGGGTTCTCCCAGTCTAAATGAAAATTCATGAAAAATTGATGAAGTCTGCAGATTATTTTATTTTTCCTTTCTCGCACTGTTTCTTAACCTTTCTTTTCGGTACTCTCTCTCTCTTTCTCTCTCGCTCGCTCTATCTCTCTCTCTCTCTCCCACCCTTGTAATATGGGATGAGCAGCCGAGGGGGTTGAATAGAGGCATTGACTGCTTGAATGGCTTAAAGGTGAGGGGTGAGAGGTCAGGAGGCCAGGAGAGGAGGGGATAGCAAGGTGAAGAAATATGAACACACATCTGATGGGGATTACTAGTGATGCTGGGTGTGAAAGAGAGGTTCGGGATAAAGACGGAGGCCACACACAGGGGTACAGGGCTGTAAATTTTTATCGCTGTGGCTAGAAATTACAGTTTTGCCCAAAAAAAAAAAAAAGTATACCCTTAACTCCCACTAAGGCTCCACTTTTATCTCCATGCAGCACACTATCATAAGGCAACACTAGAAATGTACACATATCCACATACCTTACTTTGCACACATTCCTATTATTTTGTAGCCTGTAGCACTTGGCTAATGTACTGGTCACCTTGCATGTACCACGATGGAGGTGAACACTTCCCATTATGAAATAAATGTGCCTTAAAGGAGTATAAACAACCACGCAGCATCTTTGCGTTTAATAAGCCTTCTAAGTGGACTCTCTGGTTCATATTTCATCTGCTACCTGAGGTCTAGCCCTACACGCTTTACCAGGATAATCTTTGGACACAAATGAAACAAGCTGACACCAAACTAACCCTTCTGCTTTTAATAGTTCATTAAAGTGGCGTCACATCTTCCAGTTCCGTTTATAGACGCTACTACACCACATAACAGTGTTGTTCATATTGACCTGACCTGACCTGACCTGAGGCGTCGCAGTTTGAGCTTGATAGCAGTGCGGGCTTGACTGAGATGGAGTGTGGCTGCAGGAGAAGGCTGTGCTAGTGGGTCAAGTGTAGTTCAACGGGGCCAGTTGCTTGATTATAATGTGACACTGCAATGAAGCTTTATTAAAGGAGAACAGTGTTGGTATAAATTACTTGATTATGAGCAGATCAGAACCCTCGGAGGCACGTTGCAGAAAATGGAGAAGAAGGAAAGAGATTGAAATATACAGGTAGTGTATTATGTGAAGACATTAATGACTTGTTGCAATTTTAATGACAGGTAATTCTAGGGATATTGAGTTGGAGTGTCCTGAAGCTGATCTGCAGCATTGGTGTCTGAGTCAATCAGATGTCAGGCCTCGGGCAGAAAAATGGTCAGAATCAGTGCAGCGCTTCATGGTTTTTTTCCATAGAGTGATATTCGTTGTTTGATTGCACCTTGTCTCTCCCTTTTTCTTAAGCATACACTAGTATTAGTCTGTAGTAAGCAGATAAAATGATTGTGATCTTTATTTAAAAAATGATATTCACAGTTGAGTATTCATTGTCAACAACAAATGATGATGATCAGTTATATTCAACCTAAACTATGACCTTTTGAGGTTTATTTTCTTTGTCTATTTTGGGTTTTTGCAGAATTAAGGCTGGCAAAAATCCCTAAAAGGAGGGAGGGACATTTGGTGGAGCTTACTCCATGCTTGGTTTGTTTTGGGCCCTTGGCTTTCTCAGCTTTCTCTTTCAGCCAGGTCTTCAGGGGGCTAGGGGAACAAAAGGGGGGTGGGGTGCTAAATCCCACGGCATTGGCTTTACTGCAGTGATTAGCTTTATCAGGTCCTGACATCCGTCTAGTGATTGTAAAGCCAAAGCTAATCGCACAAGAAAAAGCAGCATTTAAATCTGTATCCATGTTGAACCGGGTTTGCGCTTATGATACGTCTTGTAACAGCGTCTGCCTCCCTCTCTCTCCCTCTCCCCCCCTCTGTCGTATTGAACACACCTTTGCCCCCCTTCCGTTCACGAGTGGTTGAACAGGACCCTGGTGAGATAATTGAATTGCAGTTCTGAAACAGATTGAACTCTGTGTCCACCGAGCAGAGTGGCGCTGCAGCATGCTGGACATCAAGCTGGGCAACACTCACCACTCAGTCTGTTGGAGGAGGAAAGGTGGAGTGGAGAGGAAGAGGCCTCTGAGAGGTGCCTCTGCATTATTAATGTGGACCAGATTGGGGGTACTCGTGTCTTTGCTGTACTTCGTCCTCCATTCATGTCTCCTTTAAGTGTGGGACGTTGAGCACACATTGTTCACAAATGAATGGACAAGAGCATGAACTGCATGAACTGCCCTGTGTTATCTGGGTCTGTGGTGCATGAGCAGAGTGTGAGGATAATGCTTAGACATCACTTTGCTGAATTTAGGAAGAGATTTCATTATAGCTGTTGTTCACTGTCCTGTACTGCGGATGATAAGAGAACTTGTAAACGTGTTGCCTAGAGGGTATCTGAGCAGTCTGCTTTGTAATCTTACTCCTCTTCAAAACTGACTGCAGGCCAGCTCTATGGGATGGATATACTGCACGTAAGAGGGAATGTGCCCCCTTTTCTCTTTTCAGAATAAACTAGGTCAATGAGCAGGTTCATAAATCATTGTGAAGCCTGTGTCAGAAATGCTAGCTGCAGCCACCGCTGCTGAATAAATTGCTAGCACTGCGAATATCTGTGTATATGTAAGTGTGACAAGGCACACCTGGGGCGATAGGATCCCAAGGAAAATGTTAATTAGCGCCATCTTTGCAGGTGGATGAGTAGCATACGTACGTGGTGCTCCAGATACTCGCATGCAGGGTGAACAGTTTCACTTTTAATTGAGTGTCAAATGTGACTCAGGCCCTCCGACGTGCATGTGGCTGCATGTGTAATAAATACATATAATCGTCGGGGGAAAAGGCATCACAGAGGAATGAAGACACGCATTCTTGAGGTGTAGATCCATACCCTTGCAGCTTTGTTCAGTCTATAACCTTTAAAAATGCAAATGACACCGAAATGAAACAGATGTCTTGGGTTGGTTCTAAATGCAGCTTGGAATGGGACTGGATGACTTTTAAAAAGGTCCTTTGATATCATCTAATGTACCACTTCTGCAATTAAGTGAATCGTTAGGTAGCATTTGGTACTCGTACAACAAGGTAATTAGCAGGAAAATAGAGTTGGGAGAGGTGTGAGTGGCGAAGAGAGGAGGAGGGTACCAAGCTGTTCCTGTTGTGTCCAGCATGAGGGGAAGCTAATAAAGGGACAGGCCAAGAGGAGCAGGCCAGGTGGGGAGTCAGGCTGAGCTGCACTGCCGAGCCTTTCACAAGCTCATCTGGACTCATTATTCCAGATCAGAAATGAGAAAATGGAATGACAAATACACACAAACAACAGACGCTGGCACACTCTCACACATGTGTACACAAACACCTGCCCTCGTGCTTGTATAAACCTCAGTAGGCTGAGGTTTAATCTGCGCCGAAGACCTTGAGAAATAATGAAGGGTAATGAAGGAAGCAGCAACAATGCAGCCATTACGGCATATTAAAGATGCACGCTACAGTTAAGAAATAAAACAGTCTGGAAAAGTGATCCCAGTCTAATTTGTATTTAATGTTTCACTCACCTGTACATCTTGGGATGTCTGATCTGTGGAACACAGATTTGAAGACTAAAACAACTGTTACGGGCTTGGATTTCTCAGAAACAAGAAACAGGGATCCTTTGACATTTTTTTCTTCAATTGATTCATTTATTGATCTCTTACTCTTCTAGCACTCAGT